TTGCCCTGCCCAAAATGCAAGCAACAAAAACCACAAAATAGGAGCACAAAACACATCACTTGTACATATCTTAATGAATTACACCTAACCTGCAGTATAGACACAGACTGGGAGCTAGGAATTTTCCATGCACCAGCTGGGAATCAAACCCAGGTCACAAGAATGGGAACCTTGCATGATACCACTACAGCACTGGTGCTTCCCTGCAGGCACCCATCCTGCAGTGCGATCTCACTCCAATCCCAAGGGCTCTATTAGCAAGAACCTCAGTTATCCTGCCCCAGAGGCAGATCATAATAAGGACTATGCAGGAAAAAGAGTTTTCTACCAGAAAAAAATTACCTGAAGAACATAACACATATCCTAAAATACTGACAAGAGGCCACTGGACAATTAAGTACTCCCTTTTCCTAGGGAGGTTTTGAAAGAGTAAACATGGAAAACCCTAAAAAAGTCTTCTGTTTTTTTCTTAAAATATGTATAAATAGTCGATCTTCTTTCAGTGAAGGCAAAGGCTTCACAGATTCCTTCCAAAATGTCTTTGGTTATAAGAAGACTTAAATTTCAAAACAGTAAAGCCAAGACAGTAATTTGTCTCAATAGTGCAGAGTAAGTGGGTCTGTGCTGAAGCTGGAAAGAAATTAAAGAAACCAAAAAATAATTGTTCCATTCTGACTGCCTAGACCTTTCATGAGGAGCAAAATTGTTTTGATGAATACACAGCTACCCATGACTCTGGAAGTCAAAGTGCTTTAGGCATGGATGCAAGAAAATCATAAATATTCCAGGCAGAAAAGCAAGTGGACTGCAGCTGAAAGAAGTTCTTTGGTGCAATGTGTTCCATGGTCCACTTCATGTACAGGTGTTGAAACTTTTATCACAGCTTCTGCAGCTTACTCAGGAACTCTGCCCCATTTGAGAAGCATACTAATGGTTTAATTTCTGAAATTTATTTATTATTAATTAATTAATTAGAATATTTTCCGAAGCTTTCATGCATTTAGCAACACTACATAGCATGAGGACCTGAGATTTTTTTAACAAATATTATCTGTGAGAGATATTCGGTCTTCATGGAAAATGAGTTAATATCAGGTTAAATGCACTGTTTTTCCTCAGCTTCTTTCAGTCAAGATATCTAACATAATATGAAGGAAAGGTAACACAAAGGAAGAAATTAATGGCAGACCAGAGAATTTAAAGGTTTCTGAGCAGAACCAAATATCCTGCCTCTCTCGTAGCACTTAATGGCAACTCCCCAACTATATTTATTTACAACCTTTGTTTAAAACAAATTTCTTATTCAGTCAAAAACTCCAGAAACGATAAAAGGAGACTTTCAAATAAAAAGACCTACAAACAATACTTTTCTTTGTCCTTGCACTCAGTAGCACATAGGAGGAATGGACACAACTTCTAATTTTTAGGAGGGATTAGCAATTGCTTTTTTCCTAAAGGTCAAATATGTTAGATGCTAGGTTGGTGGTTTTTAAAGTGAATTTAAGAAAATGTAGGGGTGCAATAAAATAGCATTCCATAAAGTCCATGTAAGAGTTAATTTACATTATCATAAGAGAGCAATAAGCAGAAATCTGGGATTGTTTGAGAAGAATCCTGCTTTTACGCTAAAGCAAGATGTAGAATGCATTTCTTCTGAATTGAATACTACATTTAACCTACATTCATTATTTCCTCTGTCTAGACTAAATGTAGTCTGAAAAGATATTTCCTTCTCTAAGGATGGTTTCAGATCATCCTTTGAGGATATACATAGAGCTCCTGGAATCCCTCATTACTGGGAACTTTTCATAATTTGCCATTCTCTGGGACTTGAATCTGAACTTTCACATGCACATCTTGAATTCTCAAACGTGTGGAAGGACAATGACCAGGACACACTCACAGCAATATAAATTATATATGAAATAGACAATACTCAAAAGATTTCTCTTGTGAATGTTCCGAGTCTTTCTATGATCTCTGTAACAAAGTTTTAGCATACAACATGGTCTCAGTGCTTCTCAAGTCTGCTTTCTGAGAACTCACCTGTCAATCCTGATTCTCTCTGTCTCTACAAATTCTTACAAGCCTGAGTTTCCTCTTTCAGCTCATCAGTTAATATGTCCAAAATCTCTCTCCATTATTTACAGGTACAATAAAAAATTCTGTTGATCAAGAAAGAGATCAATGAAATTGAAAATAATAAATTTGAAAAGCTGTCACTAATTTAAAAATATTCTAATAATCCAAATAAGTAGTTCTATCAACATCAGAACTAATGAAGCCTGCTTTATTACCCCTTTGTGTCCCATCATTGATTTACCTTGGTGTGTTAAGGTATGAGCTCTGACTTGGACCATTTATAAGAACTTTGGACATAACTCCTCCTTTCTTTCATCTTTTTATCCCCTTTTCCCACACCTCTTAAATGTCATTTTTGGAATCTACTAAGGAATTTTTTCATGCTGACAAGATGCATTTATTCAATTCTGTTATCAATTTCTATAAAACTTGTAAGAATCTAATTATTTCCAAGAACTCTTTTTTTTTTTTTTTTTTTTTTCAGATCTCTTTGTTGAAACCAGACAATAAAATCCAAAGTTTTGGGGGGAATAAAGATGATACCTGTCAGATAAATAGAACCAGCTTACAAGCAGAGTTCAAACAAAAAGGGAGCTAAAAAATGTGGAGATTTTTTCTGCACTGAGAATATTATGTACAGCATTGGTTAAAGTATAGATATTTGGAATCAATAAATTGAAAAGCTACAAAATATATGTGCATATCTTAAAATAATTCACAGAAAAAAAGAGAAAAATATTATTTCAGATTCTACCTTTATAGCCATCACAAATGAAAAAATAAAACACACCAAAAACATGGCAAAAGCTTTTACCAAAATGTTTTGGGGATTTCTTTCAAGTAAAATTAAAAAAGACATCTGATAAATGTCAGCCTGAAACAATTCAAAATTGTTGAAATTTGATTTTATAGACAGACTTACAATAAAACTAAGGTTCATTTTGTAAGCATGTTTTAAATGCAAAAGTAAAGTTTTCTTTCTATATTTGAATTGCATTTAGGCATTACCTATTTCTTATTTTTTGCACAAATTCTCTATTTTTCCCCCTCATGTTCTTAAGTTTTACATTTCAAACTCTCCAGTGCTTCATTAATATTTAGGATCCTTTGATTTATGGCCAGTAGATTGCTTTTCTTGATGTATTTCTAATGAACATTAAATCATTAAGACCCCTTAACATAAGCTGAAATTATTTCAGGCCAACACAGAAGACACAAGTATGCAAGTATGTTTAATTCATTTACATGGAAAAAAAAGAATTTTTTATATAAGAATACTGATTCTTCCACAGTTTTTATCTTTTAAGAAGCAACATGTGGTAATTGTATACTCTCATCTCCTTGGGCTGCTATTTTGTTATTGAAATATTCTATATAAAATATATCTTGTAAAGTAAGCAATACAAATTTCTCATGTTTCTTTGTGATAATAAAGAATATTTTTAAAAAATTAAAAGGAAGATTATTAAAGAGCAGTTTGGGATATTTTATGCTATTGTGTATGTTTGTGCATTGCCCTTGGAGGATATCCTAGCAGAATCTTTAGGCTTCACAGTCTCAGTGAGAGCACAATCACTGCTTGCTAATTTACACATGACATATGTGGTATTACTGAGCAGAATACCCCAAGTTTTTCTCAGCCTTAAGATTTTCCTTAATATCTTTCTTCATTCAATTCATAGAGTCACAGAATGGTTTGGGTTGGGAGAAACCTTAAAGATCATCTGGTTCCAACCCCCTTGGCCACAGAAATAAGATCAGGTGGCTTCTACTAGATCAGGTGACTCATGGTCCCATCCAGCCCTTGAACACTCTCATGGATGGAGAAGCCATAATTTCTCTGCTCAAATCAATGATGGACCAATCACTAGGGCTTAAGGAAAAATGAGGATGTTAGTGGAGCAGCCATCTAGAGGACAAGGAAATAATTTAAAGTGGTTTTAGATGAAGAAAGGCATAACTGTTCACATGAAGCCTAATAAACTTTGTTGCCTTCCTTCTCCTTCCTCTGCAAAAGTTGAACAACACCGCATCCTGTACAATTCATATAGTGATGAGAGTCCAGCTAGAATATGACCAGGCAACAAACATGTTGTTTGGTCCAGCAGTATCAAGGTTGATAATAAAAGTCTTAGAGAATAATACATGTGAGAAAATCAGGACTGAATCAGCATGCAGGTACTGTAAATGGCATATAATTTCCTACTGGTGTCTCAAGCATCTGATGAAGAACAAATTTACATAAGAACCTTTTTTACTATGTCCCAGCAGCTAAGGAGGGACTTGTTCTCTTGACCAGAATGTCACAGTTCTGCTGTACTTGTCTAGGGTTCTGGCAATTGTCTGTGGATGGCTGTACCTTCTTACATAAGTAGGGGACTGAAAGTCCTAACCTGAATGATTATAGATTGTAATGCATGATCTGAGAAAAAATTGCAATGAAGCACCTTTACTAACCTAGAAAGAGGAGATTAAAAACCAAAATTGTTAAGCCTCCCAATATGTAAAATACTCTGAGAAATATAATGCCCCAGATATGAAAATGTTCAAAGTCAGGCTGGATGGAGCTTTGGAGACCTGGACTAGTGGGAGGTGTCCCCGTCCTCAGCAAGGGGCTGGAGCTAGATGATCTTTAAGATCCCTTCAAATTCAAACCATTCTGTGATTCTAAATATAGTTCAGGTGAATTGTGAGAAAGACAAAGAGTTTGCTATATCTACAGGGAAAAAAAAAAAAAAGCCCTACTGATTAAGTATGAGCTAAATGTCCTAGTTTTTAAATTGCTAGTACATAGGAAAAACATTATTCAGAAATGTTTTTCACTCTTTCAATGCTTTTAGAGCAAAGACTTTGACAGGAGTTACTTGAAATAATGTCACACTGTGCAGATAATTAATGAAGACAAAATAATAAAAGAATAATAGTTAAGTATGAAATTTTATTAGAAGGGTTTCTTCTAATCTTTGAGAAACAAAGCCTATGTAGACACAGAAAATAGTTTTAATCCATACAGATACCTTTTGTAATGTAAATCCGAGTAGCATGATAAAAAGAAAACTCAGAGTTGTCCTTACAGTGTCAAAAGTTGTAAAACTCCTAACAGATCACATATAACATTTAAAATCAGCATGAATTAACACAAGAAAAAAGAGCTAAGAAAAACAATGCTGAAAAACATTAGTTCATATCACTTATTCTGTCTTCAGACTTATTGGTGCATGTGATAATTGTCATGTTCTAATTTGGGTCAATTCAAACCCCAGTGAAGAAAATAAAAACAATCCCAATATTTTCCTAATTTCCAAAATAATTTAATTACCTCCAAAATATTTCTATGTTGATCAGAATAATAACTTTGAGCTTTGTGAATATCCACTGTTATTTATAAAGACATACTCAGTTTGTTGATTTAGCCATGTTTTTGAAGGAAATTTGCAATAACAAATCAGCTTTTTGCTAAACTTAATTTGGTTCACCTTTATGTGGTCACCTAATGGAGCAGTTCCATGCTGCACCTTATCTCTGTTGTGCATGTCTGTCTTTGTATTGTCTTGGTCTTAATAATCAGGTGGCACCTGCTGAAGTATACCTGGTCATCAATCCCAGATGGAAATATATGCAGAAATAAAAATTAAAATTTTAAAAAAAGCTTATTAATAAGTATTAGCTCTATTTGAATATAGCTGTGTTCTCAATATCTGTTGGTAGCAATTGCTAGCACCACTAATAGAAAAAAAAATGTAATACACGGCTAAAAAAAAAAAAAGGCAAGAACATGCACATTCATGGTTGTAATATGACTATATCTTTGCTTTTTCAGGGAGGGTGCTTTGGGGTTGTTTTTTTTTTTTGTTTTTTTTTTTAATGTTAAATTCTGGGCATGCTTGGTACATTCAGCTTCTCAGAAATCCTCTATATTGTATATTCTGGATTCCACTTCATCCTTAGCAGGACCTATTTATCAAGATGGGCAACCCACAATCGTACTGAGCATGTACAAGAGAATGAATTTCATATTTATTCGCACTTGTGTATATATACACACATATATATACACACACATACATGTAAAAAAAAACCAACCAGATTCTTTTGTGAGCATCTACATTTTCTACGCATTTTCTACTGGTTCAACAGGAGCTGTCAATTAACTGAAAACTCACAGTCAGGCTCTGGGAGAAACTCCAGTTCAGATTTTAGGTTACAAAGTGCAAGATTTTAAAATTAATCATAGCAAACATGGTAGAAAAAGTGAAAGCATGTAAATAAAATAGATCACCATTATGCATGATGTAAAAGTTTATCATATGCCATCTCAGCTTAAAAAAATCTGCTAACTTCAGAGGACAATTATGCTGTCCCACTACCTGCACACATTATTCCTGATGATTTAAGAAGATAAGAAATACTAGGCAGATATGTGCCCAGAAATGAAAAATATGCAGGTTACTTACAGAATTGTAAAATGGTTATGATATTTTTAATAATTAAAGCAGAAAAATAATACAAAAACAAAATAATGAACAAGAGGTCTCTACTGAATCTATCACCTCTCATTTTAAAATCCATATTTATATTTTTACTCTTACAGAGGATCTTAACTCTTAAACATACAAAATACTTAGGCATTCATGTACTTTCCAATAACAGATACTCATTTACTTGCTTGTTTATAAATATTCAAGACTCACTTTGCTGTTCCAACATTTTACATCTTCCTGGATTTCTGCTTTTTGCTTCAATAACTCCTCAAGGTGTTTTTCATCCTTTATAATCTTCTCTTCTGTTTCTTTTAACTTCATACAGTATTCGGTCCAAATAAATTCAGAATGCTTTAACTCATTCCTAATAGAAATACACACAAAATTAATCCATCAATTTGGAAATACTCCAAAGTAGTCCCTCTCCATAAAGGAAAATTTAAAGCAGATCTGAAATAGTAAAGATTTATTTTGATTCTCTACTACATTCCTTGAACAGGTAAGCATGAGATAACTTCAAAATATCCGCCCGGGGAGGTTCATGCAGTTTCAGCCAGAAATGCTCATGCTACCAGTTCACTCTCACTTGAAGCCTGCCAACATTACGACTTCTAATTGGACCTCTGAGCAGGCATTGCAGTAGTTAAAGTAAGGCTTTTTTTCATACCTAACATGTTAGCTAAACAAAAAAAGGAGTCAACACTCTGCTAGTGGCTGAATCTAGTTCAGAGCCATTCTCACTTAACCAACGCACTGCGCTGTAATTTTGTGGACAAATGTCATTTGTGAATTAAATTTTTCACTGACATCAATTGTTCATGCTAAGAGGAAATTGAAGGCAAGGTCAAAGGAGGGGTTAAGGACTTTACTTTCACTCTGAATAGCAGATTTAAGAGCATTATAGAAAGGAAAACTTGCCACAATTACAGAACAAGATACTAATAACTACAACGATTGCCAGGGAAACACTCCCATGAGACATGGTTATAGACCTCATTATAGGCTCCAAAAATGTCTTTTTTTTTTTTTTTTTTTTTTTTTTTTTTTTTTTTTTTTTTATTATTGTTTCAACAGGCAGAAAAAAGTTTCCTCCATGCTGCCAAGAGAACTGTTTTGGTCAATACCACATTCCAAAGTGTATCTTATATTGTAAAATAAATCCACCACTGCAGAACTAAGACCAACAGTACTTGAGTTTTAGAGACAGCTATTGAAGTAAGACCCAAAACCACCCCTGCAACAAGACAAGAGGAAACAATCATAAAGTTGCTTCATTGCTAATTCAAGAGCCTTTTCTGCAAGATTGTTTAAGAGACATTCTTCATTTAATTGCTTCCAAGATTTCATTAATGCTGGAGTAAAGGCTTACCTTGCCAGGTGTCACAGGCTGTGAATAGCACAAGCATGAAGCCCAGCTTTTGAACTCCTCCACTTTGAACTCCTCCACTTCCTTAGGTCTCACCACCCATGAAAGAGACATATAAATAGTATTTGGCATTATTCTAACAACAGACATGTAACAGTCATAGGCTGTAATTTTCTTCTCATATTGCCTATCAGCTACAACTTTCTGAGTCGTAGCTGTCATGAAAAATTACGGCACCATCAGCCACAATGCGTGTGTAAGCCACAGACTGTGCCGCGTGATTTATAACAGCCTCAGTATTTTCAGTTTCGTGCAATCTTCATCATTTTCTCAGTGATGGTACTGAACATAAAGAAAAGAGTATGAACTGCAGAGCAGTCTTTCAAGTCTGTGCCACCACAAATCTTTCTCATGCCTATCAACACTACGTTATTTTAGTCCTCCTCAGATGGCAGTTAAGGGATCTAATTCCTCTGTAATCTAAGCACAACTTTAGTTACCAGTTAAGCAAATCGCTGCAAAAAATTAAAATACACAGTAAAAAAAACCAAGCAAACAAAAAAAACCCACCCAAACCTCCTCTCCCCCCCAAAGAAAACACAAAAAAAAAACCAAACAAACAAACAAAAAACCAACCTACAAACAAAAAAACCCAAAAAATCAGAACTCCTAAAAACCCAAAAATAAACACTTCACTGAGGGATAGAAAAAAGAGTTTTCTACTTGACTTTTTCTGAAAATGCTGATATTCCTAGAATCATTGGTATCATTAACATTTCCAGTTTGATTCACAGTCATGCAAAACAGGTTACAGAGGGCACAAGAGTCTATGTCACTATCATGTGATATGAAAAGAAGATTGTATAGGTAGGTGAAAGGGAGATACATGGCACATTTCTGTCAGTATAGACGATTACTTTTGGTATTATTTATCTATTCCCATTATCATGGGGATTTTACTTATGTAATGACTTCTTTCAAAAGAACAAAAGAAGAAAGAAATTTTAAAGCATCTCAGAACAAAGGTTAACTGCAGGAAAACACCGCACTTCCCTTCTTGCACATGAAACAATCTCAAGTGCCCCAATTCAAACCCCAGAAAAACTGCTCATGCTGCCCTAAAACTACCAAGCAAGCAAACAGCTGTGACAAAATGACAGAATACAGACTGAACTGAACAAAATTTTGCACAAAAAAACCTTTAAAAAGTGAAGTAGTCACAAGCCAAGGAAAAAAAGTTCTAATATTAATAAAACTATGAAGAAAATCAGATGATCAATTTTCATTGAAAAAATAGGTTGGAGGGTGGTATCTCAAAATCCCATATCTGTTGTTTTGATATATTTACAAATTATGTGAAAGCACAGGAGCAGTGAAATTAAAAGTCTGCATAGAATTTGATTATAATCAGAAAGGTCAAAATGAGCTTAAAAACTTTAGAAAAATTTCAGGACAATCTAAGTAACTGCGAAATAACACAGGACATACCATTTCTTGTCCAAACTCTACGTGGAAGTTCAGAGAAATTAAGCACATCTTAAAATTATAAATTAACTGTTTCTATTTGAGAGAAACTTGTACATATTTCCACAAACACTCAGAAAGTCTACTCAACATTTACCACAGTTAAAGCTAAGAAGGTTAAATTAAGCAAGAGATGGGATGGGAATTTTTAGAATAAGAAATGAAGGTAACACATCCCTCTCAAAGACAGTGACATGGCTTAAATTTGAAGATTATTTTGTATTACCTTTCAACCCATTTCAGAAAACTATATCACAGAAATGAAAAGAAATCAGAGGGCATCTTAGAAAGGTCCTAAAATATAGAATTCTTCTTAAAACACATTGAAAATAATGTAAATTGCTTTAGAAAAAAGAAAGGAATAATGAACAAAGAAGTCCAAAGTCACAGAGAATATAGCCTAGTGAAAAAATTTGACAAAACACAGAAATATTTAGTATTACATACACCTTAAGACTTCAACTCCTAAACTACAGCAATTTGTCTACACCAGAAAAAAACAGAATAGCTTCTGATCACGCAATATTACATATATGATGGACGAGTAAAAAAAAAGAAGGAAAATAAGAAAGAAAATATACTTTTAACAATATTTTTTCTGGTGTTACATGATAAAATCATCTTCAGCAACAGTTACTCTAATCATAGTATCTGAATGCATAGTAATAAATCACATGACATTTTGGTAATACATCTTACTCAGTACCTGATCTTTACCATAATTAAAATCAACATGAGGTTTGCAATGAACTTAACAAGATACAGAATCAAGGTCCATGCTTTCTGATTTCTCTCAGCTGGAACCCACAAAGGAGCTAATGAGTATTTGATCAGTTCATCTCCATATACATATTTAAACAATAATTAAAATTCCAAACATTATGAAGACATTGTGAAGCTTGCATTTCCAGGCTCATATACATTAAAAATGAGTATTGTTTCATACTCTTCACACAACTTTTCTTTTGCTTAGACAAACACAGTGATGCTAACTGAAGAATTATGTGGCAATTTTCAGAAGTAACTCCAGCTTTGTCAAGTGTTATTACAAAATTATGATCTCAGGTTTTGTGTAATAGAATACTTCCACTTTAGCTATATAGCTGAACAAACTTTAATTTTTCATATACTAATATTCTTTTCAGAGTGTAAACTAGGTTCTGAAAATAAGAAGTTAAGTCTTAGTTAACTAAAAATAAATGTGTTCACTGTGGATCTACCTTAGAGATAATAAAATATAATTAGCAAAAATATCTATAATATAATGTCAAAATTATCCTGACTCAATAAAACCAAGTCTTAAAAATTCACTGTAGAGGTTAGGATCAAAGTAGGAAAATTTTAGACATGGTGAAAAAAGAAACAAGTCAGAGAGAGACAATTAGATCTCCAGTATTGCTACACTATCCATCTGAGAGAAAAGTATTTTTTTTTTTATCCTACACTGACTCATCCTTCCTGAAACATGGACAGTTTGATCATATTACAGGTGCATCACCACTTTGCGAGTGCAAGGCCAGAACCCCTCAAACAGCAACATCGTTTGAGTGAATGCATTTTACCGAGATGCCTCCCGCTCCCATATTAGGGGTGACCTTGTTATGGAGAGAGCTGTGATCCTTCTTTAGTTCTGCTGTTTAGTGCCAATCACAGAGAGCTCCACGGTGATGTGATATCTCAGAGAAATGGGATTATTGCATCTAAGCGACATTCCCTTGTTCAAGAATGTGTCAGTAAGGTTTCTGATCTGACCTGCAAGCACAGATCTCCCTGGATAGTAGACAGCAAAAGCACCCATCTTATTAGCCAAATAAATGAGTTTCTGATGTTGATAATACCTAGGTCAAAATATACTGTGAGAGTGCCCTGTTTTTCAAATGTCAGGGTTACTTTCTGCTCCAAGGCTAAATAATTTGTAAGATTCTGAGGCAACAAGTACTCCTGTGGGACTAAAAGATGTATTATAGGGTCTTGAGCAGTAAACAGTTTTTGAAATAAACTCATATTATTTTAATCAGGTGCAGCTCTTAACTATGGAATATAGAGTTCCATGAACAGTAAGCAAAATAACCTCAGTTATTAATTACAATTATTTCTTGAAAAAAAACCTTTAAAAACCAAGAGAAAATGTCTGCAGATACTATGACCTCTTCTTTATTTATCTCCAAGAGTGGTCCTTTCACAGAGGTGACCAAGACATCTTACTCCCAAATTCTACTGTGTGCCTTGTTTTAATTAAATGTATCTGACTAGAGAAGTTGACATACATTTTAAATAAAATAAAAATTTTTCCTCTTTGGTGCATCAAATGAAAATGTCACTCATGGTACCCTCTACTCTCTCAGTTCCTTGAAGATTTTGTTTTGGACTTCATGGTAGATAAGCCTACAAAAGAGATTTCACTGACTGAATGCAGGCATTACAATGGGCAATGTGTAAGTATACTGGTTTGGCGGAGATCCAGTTAATTTTCCTCAGAGTAGCAAGTAGGAGGTTATGTTGGGGTTTTGTGCTGGAAGTGGTGCTGTTTCCACACAGGGATGTTAGCAGGGCTTACACAGAGCCAAGCTCGTTTCTGTGCCTCACCCTACCAGTGAGCAGGCTGGGGATGCAGAAGGAGATGAGGCAGACACAGCCAGGACAGCAGACCCCAGCTGACCAAAGTGATGTCCCACACCATATGGCATCATGCTTAGCAAATCAAGTTGCAGGGAGGAAGAGGTTGTTTGTCAGTGATGGTGTTTGTCTTCTAAAGCAACAGTCAGATGTGATGGATCTCAGCTTTCATGGAGATGGCTGAACACCTGCCTGCCAATGGAAGTGGCAAATTATTGTCTTGCTTTGTTCTCCTTGTGTATATTTGAACTGTCTTTATTTCTTCCAGTGGCTTTTTTCATTTTTACCCTTCTGATTCTCCACACCATCCTGGCTCAGGGAAAGGGAGCAAGACGCTGTGTGGGGCTCAGGTGCCCACTGAGGTCAAACCACAATAATCAGTTATTCATATTGCTTACCTTTTGTCTTTTTAAAAAGTCTGGCCCTGTTCTGCTGGCTTGTAAACAATGAAAATGATAAAGTTTATTTCTGCTATTAACAACCTCTGGAGTTCAATGATTTCTTGGCAGAGATGGGTTGGTCTATGGCATAAGATTCTTAGGTATATACAGATGAGAATGACATTTGGCAAATAGGGATTCACTGAGCAGAAGTGAATAACAGCTCTTACAGGTATTACACCTGTTCTTGTGGGAAGAGTAACTCTGTAGCTCACAGTCATATTTAAATGCATAGAGAAAGATTGTCACAGCATTGTGGAATCACCCAGTTGTCTTGTAGATACAGACAGCCCATCTCCTTGAGGAATCTAATGCTGCTGCCAGGAACTTCATGAAATTCCACTGTTAGTCCAATAAACAGAATTCTCCTCTTCAAATGATCTCCTCTACAAAACATCAGTATGTTGCATTCACAGCACCTCCTGTGAGCTGAATGGATCAGTGTATGGAAACAGAGATCCTGCAGCAAGAGAACATCAGTGTCTTCATTTTGAAGAGACATGGCAGTAACTCGAGACGACAAATGAATCTGTAGATAACAGACACCCTTTAAAGTCCTCATTTCTTTACGAAATAAGAAATTCAGTAACAAGAAATATTTCTTCAGCTCTGAAAGCGCTCCTTTACAGCTCTTAGGTAAGCTAACGAGACCAACTCTATATAGACTTCAAATGAAAATGATCCTTTAGAAGAAACAGGGAACGGGAGATGGACAATCCCTTGCAATGATTGTGCTGGATGGGAAAGGGACATTTACTGAAATTAGGTTACCAAGGACACCAATTCGCACATAGAACTCAATCATTAGCATTACACTTACTGACTTGAATGATTAGTGATCAGGACAGGTTTTCAACCCCTGCTGTACATGAGGCACTTTTTATCACCAACTCTCTGGAATATCAGAACAGTACATGCTGACCCAACTCAGGTAGCACAGAGCATAACTTGAACTATGAAACTGGCCTGTAAAATCCTAGTGAACCCAGGTAGTTCTTAATCAATAGGATGCACCAAATTTCATTACTTACTATGAAATTTATATACTCCATAATTACCATGCTCAGTTTTTTAAATAACTGATATTTGAAGAACAGGTGCTGTCACATGGCTGTGGAACCAAAATGTCTGCTATGACTACTCAAGATATTTCAAAAATTTATTATTGTCTTTCAATTATTCCTGTGAGCTTTCCTCATCTCAAGCAAAAAAGAAAAGGCCACTGTGTCACTCGCTATTTTGCCAAATAAAAGCTGGCAATGAGCCATTGGCATATGCAGCAAAGTCAAGTGTAACTCCTACCAAACAGCAAATACTTGATATTCTTGTTCTTTAGCGCAGTTATTCTTGGTGCTGACTCTTTGTTTGTATATTCAAAGATAGAAAGTGAATGGCTGTTACTGGTGTCCAATTGTTACTGTAGCTCTACTTGATAATTCATCAGCTAATAAGCTAACAAGAGGTTACAGCAAGGAAACTCCAACATAAGCCACTGCTATATAGAAGGTACCTTGCAATCCAATAAAGTAATGTTGTTGGTTTGTTAAAAAATTAAAAAGATAGAAAATGTATTTTGATAAATTCCAGTAATTTGTGCAGTGAATAAGAATGATAACAGAATGTCCCATCAAAGGGATTCAAAATTCATGAGTAAGCAATATGAGTTAAAACTGGCATGCTTTAGGAGTTGCTTCATGGAACTTTATATTTGGATATAGTTCTGGACATCATGTCTTTCTTATTCTGCTAATTCAAACTAAGACAAAAGAGGCAAACATATATGTAAAATTATATTATTTTAATTGAAGAAAAAAACAAGAAGAATTTAAAATAATTTCTACTAGCAAATTTTCTATAGTTTGGTTGCCTCCATTAAATCCAACAGGAAATTATAATGCCATAGTGGACAGCTCTTACTTCTATTGACTCAAGAGCATCTCAGCATATTTAATTTTCTCATACATACATGCATCTTTCTTCAGATTCTTCATCATCCTTTTCATTGCCTTTTGTGTTTCTATGAGTCCACAATGAACATCACTGCATATTTTTGATGTTAAAAAACAAGTTTTCTGAAGTATTTTATATTAAAAAGCATACATAATATTTGAAATAAATAAAATTCCAGGATTTGTCTAATTCTTGACAGTTTAAAAATTGATGTTTAAATTTGAAGGGCCAGGGAAAGATAACACAATATGTTGCAAAATTGCATAATTTAAAAAAACGCTAGCAAGAGGGCTTTCATTCTGTTACAGAATTTTGGATTTTTTTTGCAAAGGTGGCTACTTTCATGGGAAGATAGTGACCTCTGGAGCAGAAAGAAAGAAATAATGTGCAAAGGAGTCACTGAGATTTCGCTCAATAACCTGAAAAATTCATCACTGAAACATTTCCGAGAGCTTGTGCAGCCTTTGCAGACAATGCAATGACCACATTTTTTAATGAGATACATAATATTGGGACACTCAGTTTGTAACAACTCTCAAATAGAGATATGCATGTCTGTTGCCTCTGCTATGTAAATATTACAAATATAAACAAATAACATGATATATAATCTGTATTAGAATTTAGCTTAAGTTCACTGCTTAAATTAGTTCTCTGAATATTACAAACTAGAGATTCAAAATTAAATAATTGTTTTAATTACAAAGGTAAGTATCAGCTGCTTTTTTAAGATCGTGGCACGAAACCCCAAACCTTAGTAACAAACAGTTAAATCAGAGCAAAATAAAAGTCACAGATAATTTACTTGACATTTAAAAATTCTGTTGAAATGGAAAACATAAATAAGATAAATACATATACGTAAAGACATATAAATACAGTAACAGTAAATCTAACTTCTTGTGCTCTGCGGTGCCAATTCTTGAAAAGAAAGGATAAAAACCCTCTGAAAAAAGGAGGGGTTTAAAATAGCCTTTAAAAAATATTTTAAGTCTACATCGTGAGTTGTATTGTAGTGCATATTAATATGTTAGTTGCATATATTTTAGGACATTAACATGGAAAAAAGACATCCAACTTAAAAAATAAACTGTTACCAACTTGGCTTTTAATTAGTATTTCAAACATACAGCATTGATAGAATGGTGATGTGTTTCATAACCTAGAAATAATTCATGATAGTTCTTATACTATTTGTGTAATAGGCAATTAACTTTTTCATTTTAGAAGTATTTTGACATGACTTCAGAGTTCCCCAAAATTGAATTCAAAATAAAACAAATTAAAAGAAACAACATTATGAATCACTTACAAAAAAAATAAAAACAACCAACCATTTTAGACTGTTAGTACCTTGAAAAAGAGATTGTACTCTAGATTCATACTTAACCAGTATTACAGAAAATATATGGAAAACATAATAAATATTCCTAATATCTGAACTTGAAGTAACACACAGTATCCCTCCAGCTTTAGAAATCAATTTTAAGCTACCTGCAACTTTGTTCTACTTTGATTAATTAGACTGGCATTCTACACATTAGGCATTTATCATAAAAAAGAAAATTATTATTAATATTAAAATCAATAAATACTAATATAAATATCAATAAGTAGCTACATTAGAAAAAATATACATCACCATGAAAAAATAACTGAATCTTGTAAACCCTTTTTGACAGCTTCTGACATCTCCATAATCTGAAACACAGATGTCTGTGACAAGATTGAAGAGAATTAATGCAAATATCATATATGTGACTTCTACCTTTCCCAGGAAAAATCCCACATGAAATCATCTTACAAAATTAGAATGAAATCATCTTACAAAGTTAGAATGATATTCCATATATACTTCAGAGACATTTATTAAAGTCTGGCAGCATTTTCCTCCCCGGGCTCTGTCGGCACTGAGTGCCTGTATGTAGTGGTATGGACATACAAAATGTAAAGCAGACTTTGGTACTTCCAGCAGACTACTGTGCTCTAAAAGGTGAATATATCTCTACACAGTGGAAAGAAACTAAGATAAATTTCTGTGTATGATCTGGATTTACCTTTCCATACATCCTCCACAGCTGTGTCTTTGGATTCAGCTTTTCTTCCAGCAGAGGGCTGTGTTTCTTCACGAAGTCTATTTCCTCCTGAATCTGTTGGCTGTTTCTTACATATTCGGTTCTGTACCTGCAGCAGCTGACAGCTTTCACAAACAAAATGCCATCATAGCTCCAAGGTATCTTAAACACACATTTAATATTCTGTTAAAAAGATAATTAGCATAACAAAATGTGGTTATCTGAATGACACCATAAATAACTAGTGAGATTAGGAAATATCTTGTCGTAATGCTAAGACTTGCAAAATTTTGTTATAAGCTGCTTTGAAGGCCAAGAAAGGACATTGATGAGAAAATATCACCAGATACAGCATTAGGAGTGGATCTGGTTTATAAACTCATGCTTAGATATGCTAGTATGTAAGTCAAGCTCAAAGCTGGGGTGGTTTTGTTTTTATGAAGGAAATCAAAACACCTCGCCTAAAGGCATATGTAGAGGAGGTTATTATGACATAAGAACAGCTCTACAGAGCTTCCTAGCCTCCAGCTATGTTGATGTATGACATATGTTGGTGCAGAGAAAGAATAGGGCAAGTAGAGATCCTACATCCTCTTGAACCAAAAACTATTTTCAGTTCGAGGACTGATAGGAAAATTAAACTAAAGATACAAACTCATAACCAACAAACAAAACATTTTCGCATTGTCACACAGAAGTATTATCTTGTGGCTGCCACACAGTCAGTGTTAATTCAGTTTTCTGCATTATCTTTTCTGACTTTGGCACAAGTTTCCTATGGGTCTTTACATGAAAATAGGTAACTAGACCACTGGTTGATGAATAGCAGCATGTATTTTATCTTATTTTGCCTCAGAAAAAAAAAAGCTTATTACAGGTGTAATTTTTCCCATTTTCTGACAGGAAATTTATTGGCATAAGACTACAGAAAGTAAAGTAAGAATACCATATGAGAAAAAAAAAACAGATAATATCTCAAGAACAGTAAACTTCGCCATAAATTTGAAAGAGAGAAGCATATTTTACTGATGTAAAAAACACTCCTGAGAAGTAGCTGTGAAATATTCAATACAATCCCTTAAGTCAATAAATCTTGCTGTGTTAACAAGACATAAATCCAAAATTTACAAAATTATTATTTCATTGCTACTGTAAGTTAGAGATATTGCAAGAAAAAGCGGCTTTTCTACATAGTACAAAGTGGTACCTAACATGAAGATGAATAAAACGTGGTTTATATTGGATTTTTGTTCTATTTCAGAGAAAGCAATTTCTGAAGATTGTTGACATCAATGTAATTACCTGAGTGTGCTACAGGACATAGATGCAGCAGGAACTAGGAATAATGGAAATCAAGGTAACTCTGAAAAAATAACAGGATTCAGTGTCTAATCTGAATGGGTCATACAAAATCTTAATTAATCTCCTGGGTTTGTAATACTCAGATTAGAGATTATTATAGCATCCTTGAGGGTCTTTATCCTCAATTCCATGTCAGTATATTTTTTGTTTTAAAGACAATACTATGAAAAGTTATAACCCTGAAAATGACAGTATTTACTCCAAGGACATGACATCATACAGACATAGCCCACTGATAAACCAAGGCAGAAGAAACTGGTCAATTTTCACAGCTAATTTAATACTGCTTTATTTCACCTCTAAAAAATGCTGCATCATTGCTTACATTAACAGACCAGATAATGTGCTAATTATATTTTAAGGTTCTAAACTTTTGTTATTTAAAGAAAATGCTACACACTAAAGAAAAGCAACAGAAATATATAGCAACACACAAAGATAATTCACAGCTTCATCATTGTAAGTAAGAACATCACAAAGGAAAAAGTAACACCTCTGCATCTCAAATCTTTAGCTACTATGCTTGCAGTTCTTTATTCTGTAAAATTGACCTTCCAGTGCCACAGATTTGCTCCTGAAAGCATTCTCTAACCTGTCAACAATTATTAGTTCAGAATCTTCATTCAATCTCTTCCTCTGTTTTCAGGGCATCATAAACGGTTTATAAGAGGCAATTGGTTTTTAGATGAGCAATCTTTGCAGACTGGGAGCACCTTAACACAGGTTTCTAATTTCCAAGTCAAGAGTTAGCCACTGACTAAACCAAACAAACATTTTTCTCCTATGCTGTTGGGGTGTGTACTATTTGACACTTTGCCTTCAGGGAAGGGGGAAGAAAGGATTTGGACTAAACAACTGGCTTGTCCCCACTACACACTGATCTTCAGGTAATGCTTACCCATCACTAAACACAGTCATGAGGACCCTGCACTGCCACCACACTCTGGACTGTGACATGTTTGTCAAAGACCTTTGGGTGATGTGCACCAGAATATGCACAAGTACATCCTTGATTTTACATCTAGCAACTTACTGTGACAAATTATGCTGCTTTCCTAAAGCCTAGGTTCAGGCAGTACCTGCTTTTGCACATGAGCAAGAAAAAATCCAATAAACTGCTAAGTAGCTTTTTTTTTTTTTAATTGTATTGTGTAGATACCTACGAAAGGTAACGAAAAAGTCCTCAGAATCTGAGGTTTTAAGGATACATATCAATGGTTACATCAAATAATTTGTATTAAATATGTGAGAACTTTATTGAAATATATATAATTTTAAAAAACTAAATAATTTGTTTTGAGAAAAATTATTTCTGGTTTAATCTGCGGTTTAACCAAAATGTACTATTTTATAATTATGTTTCAGCTTCTCACTTCTTGCCTAAACTAAGTATTTATTATCATCTTAAAGTGTCTACTCTTATGTTATTTTTTAGAAAATGCTGAACTTTTCATAGTACTTCCCATTTTTTTTCCCAGATATATATTCAAGTGTACCAAATTCAGAAATATAAATATTGTAATCCTTTTATAGTAGAGACAACTATAGTAATATCTAGATTTTTACTCCTGATCATGAGCTGACTGAAAAATTACAAATATTCTTAGTTTCAATATCAGTACCTTTTTGCATGGCTGCGAGGAGCTGCTGAAGCCTCCAAAGTGACATGCAAACAATTTTCATGCCAAACTTGTTCCTTCACTATTTCTGCAACTCCAAAGATCTTTCTCCCTCATGATCAGCCTTCAGCTACTTAATTAACTCAGTAACTTTGAATAGCAAAGCTTCTGTTTCCTGCTTCAAAGTTAATGTCTTTGCTGTCTTTAAAAATACATTAGAAATATTTTTTTAATGAAAACTTAATCATATGCTCTTGAGTTGAGCTTCATTCTCAACACAAAGCTGGCGTGTTCACAGTAAGCACAATTGGTTACATTTCTGTCTTTAAAAATAGATTATAATTGTTCCTTATGAAGGCTTAAACACACACTCTGAATTCCAGCTCCTTTCTCAGGATAAAGCTGACTCTTCACATCTGTCAAGGCAAAACAACTGGTTACAAACACAACTTTCACATTCAATAAGATTTTCCTCCAGCTCATTTCAAATGCAAAGCACAACAAAAATGTGTTAATATAGTTGGCACAAAATTTTTCATCATTGTGTCTTTGCTTGGGTAAGTAATCTCCAAATAACAGTACAAGTTCCTAATTATCTCTATTTTGTCAAGAAAAAATATTTAATTTAATTTTTCCAAATAAGTTTCAATTAATTCATTAAAGTCTTTGGAGTTCTAGGAATATTCATTATAATATCTCAACAATAGTGTTTTACTGGTGATACACCAAATAATCATTTCATTCTGTGGCATTTGGTCTAGGGTTTTCTTTGGGATTTTTTTTTGATAAAGGATTCTTTGAGATCATCATCCATTGTCCTAAACTACAAAAAATAGGAGTTATACAAGCAAGGGTCCAAGACACTTCTCTTTTTATTCCACAGACAATAATTTCCTAAATTATTTTTATTAAAAACTGCAAGGATTTAAAAGCAGGAAAACTACCTAAAATCTGGAGTGAAATTTTAGCCTTACTGTTATCAACAAAAATTTTATCACACAATTTACTGCAGATGGGATTGCCTCAGGCTAGTAGTACTTAAAAGGTTGCACACTGGTTTAAAAAAATGCACACAATCTCTTTAATATTTAAAACTTAATTAAAAAATGCATAGTCTACTGAAGATCAAAACTATATGAAAGAGAATTCTTTGTTGTGAGTATATTACAAATATCCTGTAAGAGAAATGTAGTTATTTCTTTCACAAAAGAAACTAAATGAAAAAATATTCTAGAGTTTCAATACCCAGCATAACCAGTTTTGTTGGTTCAAATCCAAGAGAGGTTAAAACATGGCATGGATCTAAATACAGAGTTGTAAATTATCTTCTTTCAAATAGGATGACTTACCAGTACTTAATATATCATTTAAATGTATGTGACTTTCAGCTTGACAGATGATACACACGGATTTCAAAGGATACCCACATCATTTACATAAGACATGGAACAGGGAACAAAATTGATCTGTAAGCAAGAATGGGAAAGAAGTAACACAAGAAGTCAAGAACACAAGCAAATCATTGCAATGAGCTCTTAAAATGCTCACTAGCCTATTGGAGTTGAAAACAAGGGAGAAAAGATAATTACCATCCACTTATGTCCACGTGTGAGGCTTAAAGGGCACATAGGAGTGCATATAAGCTGTACATATGCAGCTAAGATGGAACCTCTGTGGTCATGGGGTTACATCACACACACACACACACACACACACACACACACCCCCATAACTTGAGCACACATAAATGTGAAGAAACTCTTGGAAGGGCACCACAAAAAAAATCCTTTTGCCATGAGGATACAGCAGACAAAAATCCTATGCCAAAAACAGATTGAGAGAAATACTATCAAAACCTTCCTAGCTCAACACAAAATAGAGGGAATAGGAAAAAAAGACCTGTGCAGTAATGGAAAACAGCAAGACATTGGACGGGAAAACTGGTTCCTGAAGGGGTATCAAATTAATTACAGAAACAGCAGTTTGATAAACAAGAATTAAATAAGTAGGCAAACAGAAAATAACTCAATAGGTGTATCTGACATGAAGCAAAAATAGCAAGGAAAATACAAGGTTTGTTGAGCAAAGCAGCCAGGACAACAATCTCAGTGCGTGAGATACAAAGATTAAAAGAGGAGTTTGAAGAGGTGAATGTAACTAGAACTGCACCATAAGGTACCCTGCATAATGAAAAATTTAAAGTGAAAGATTCAGGCTTATTTTGTGTTCTTTCTGAGTTTCTGCCTTTGAAATATATCTGTATTGTATTGTATTACATATCTACTGGACACCTGGTTAGAAATAATTTATTATCAATTATATACATAAAATCATATGTAAATAATTAAAATAAAACCCCTCTATATTTGTAGTATAGTTATTTCATTCTATATGCCTAATTCTTATTTTTAAGTGCATTAATGAGACATTCTTACTATAGCAACTGTACCTTTTCTCCTTTTAATTTGTAAGGTCACCATCCAAAGACTTCAGAAAATTTTAAATCTCTGTATATTAAGTAACAGCAACTTAGAAGAGAGGTGGAAAAGATACACAAGACTAGCAGAAAAAAATTTAATTTAACAATAAAATGAATAAACATCTGGACCTGTCAATGCTTATCCAATTAAAGCATATTAATGAAAATTATGACATAGAAATAAGTTCACTGTTCTCACATTTAAATAAAAGTGAATGAGGCAATATAAATTTTCCAGTCAAATTAATGTCTGTACTGTAAATCTAGATGTAGTTCATGCACCTTTGATTCTTGTATCATCTCTACTGTAGTTGCAGAAATTTCCCTACAGAGTATTTAACAGCATTTGTGGAATACTAATCCGAGACAGCTTTCCTGATGTGCTGCTATGATGACATTACTGCCAGTATTGCAGATAAATTATTTAAATATAACTTGTCTTTGTAGACAGCTATCAGATCTTCTTGCTGCAGTGTAGACATATGCAAAATTTATTAACATTTGGAAAACACTTTTCCAGTAAAAGTGAATTATTTAAATTACACTAATCATGTTCTCAGAGAGGTTAATGGAAAGATTAAAATTATATACATATTGGAATCTTTCTTCATCTACCTACACATTTTTTAAGTTCCCTTTATTCTCGTTTCTATTCATTTCTATCAATCTATATAAACTAGGAAAAGATCATGTGCTGCTACAGAAAGAATCATAACATTTTCAATTTTGTCTTTGTATAATAATGAAACCTCTCAATCAAGGAATCCTGAAGTAGTGTTCACGAAAAAACATTGCTTACATGAGAGAAGATGGCACTCAGCTCCATTTGACACTCTATTCAAGACTAGTAACAAAATTATTTTACAGATGATATCGCTGAATCAGCTTGACTCTGACTCATTATGCATGAATGTATTAATCTTGGTGATATATTGATATTGCATTATGATATTGTACTATACTGATTGCAATAAAATATTTTATTTGCTAAAACTGTTAAGTAGATGAAAAACATAATGATTAGTAAATTAAATTCTAAGGCACTATTTCAGGTAGTACATATCATATGAAATTAATTTTTGTATAAAAATCAACATAGTAATCCTGATTAATATGTATCTGATCCTATAAAGATAAAAATGTACCATGAATCTCCCAGTTGGAAGCATTTTGCCTCCTTTAATTTTAATTCTTGAATACGATTAATAACTTTGTTAATACAGGGTAACAGAATATTTACAAAAGCACAGGAATGTTGTCTTGTGGTGATCCACTTATCCTTGTCTGGAGAAAGTCAGATAATACAGAAAGCAGGCTGATATCAGATTTTGTTACCTGATTTTCTTACTTTAATTTGCAAATTTGCTAGCTTTGGTCTTGAAGACGAACACAGAATGTAACAGCTGTGTATATTACTTTGCACACAATTTGCTCTAACTCTTACTCCTTTTCTAATACAGTGTCAGCTGCAGGGAGGGAGATTAAAAAATGCTTGAAGAATATGAAGGAATAATTTCAAAGAAATGAGATATGATAAAGAGGGATAGGGTCAAAATACAATTCACTGTAACAAATTTTACATAATTAATCTCAAATGAATAGATTCTTATGATTTTACATTAGTCCTCAGCAAGGATTTTGTCCAAAAAGCAAAAACATCCCAATCCAAAAAGGCAAATGTGGCAGCTACTAGAAAAACACCCAGAGCAAAATCGAAAAGGTCACAAGGACTTAGAGACAAGCTTAGACTACTCTTATGGACACAATACTTAGTTCTAGCAAATGTTTGCTTCCACCTTATGAAGGGGTGAAGTTTCAGAGCAGTAATTCCTGTGACGGGAATTTAAAGCTACATGACATGAACTGTTTTATGAGAACAGGCGGATTTCAGAATTATGTTTTCTTTAAACTCTTTTAGCCTTATAGCTACTTAAATAAATTATGCTGTGTCACACTACTGAATGTTAACTATTGAGTTAATACACAGGACAGGAATTTGATTGCAGAGGTCACTAATGAGAGGTGTCAGGAACCAGAGCAAGATACTGAAACCTAGCACTAGAGCTATTAAAAAATCTAAGAAGCTGTCCTACAAACATGAAACATTAACCTAATTAAGTTCAGAGGGATACAATGCTTCGATGTGCCTTGGAGACGGACCAAAAATAACAACAGTAATAGAGATTAAACTGTAAAAGAGAACCAGACAGCCTTCATATGCAGTCTGTAGACTTTTTTTGTTAGGGTTTCTTTTAAAAGAGTAATCTCAGTATTTTAATTAAAGTGCTAACCTAAAACATTAACAGTCTGTATGTTACATAAGGCTCTTTTAACATAACTTTATCATAAACAGATGTACTGGAATGGAATAAATGGTTTGCAATATTTTGTTTAAAAAGGCGGCCCACAAAAATGGATAACAAAACCCATTTTCTAGACTCTTGCTCTGCCTGTTTTTAGAGCCAGAAACCTTCACAGGATGCCTGCACAGCGCAATCCTAACAAAACCTATACAGACTTTGTCCAACACAGAAGTTCAGATTTTAAGACCAGCATTAATTTCACTTAGTTGCTTCTGCTATTATGTAAATATATTGATTCTGTTTACATCACTAGAGCAACTAACAATATAGCCACTTTAAAAAGCCCTATATTTTTGAAAAGCTTTAATTAAAAAACATTGTTCTTTTACTGTTCTGGTCTTTCTTGATAAGTGCAAGCAATTTTACATGCAACTCTTCTAATCCCTTTATAAAAGCAAGCTGGAAATATAAAGTGGAATACATCAGTGATAAGTATCAGGTATATTCTTAGAGGTTAGCAAATCCATTTTCACTTTTTCTACTAAGGGAAATACAGCAACTAAACAGTTGATTACAAATTACAGACTGGACTCCATTTAAGTGAGGAAATTACAACTAAAAAGCAAATAAGAATGGAAACAACCCAATTTCAAACTATGTGACCTGACTTTTTGAATTATATGTGGTTTTTGGATCTTATTATAACAATGGCAACAAATACTAACTGCAAAAATGTGAAAACAAGGTGGATAACCTATGAGATGAATTTTAACTAAGAAATTATCAGTGGAAGGTAGGTTTATAAGCTTGCAGACTGAAACATTGTCATTTCAGTGGACAGGAGACACGTAAGAGAGGAAAAACTTCTATTTATTTGCATGTAAATGTATAACTCAAATTTACTATAATAGAAAGCCCCATATTATTTATTTATTATTTACATAATTCAGGAAATAATAATGGCTGAAAACTTAAGTAGTTAAATCTCAGGACCACCAATTGAGGTAATTTACCAAAATAGTTCATCACCTTTCCAGGCAGGCACCTTTTGGATGGTAGAATTAACACATTAGAAGTTCCTAGTAAATTGTAGTTTCCAACTGAATTATCAACCTACAAAAAATGACTAGTAAAAAAGCAAAAATATTCCACATCTATATTACAGTCTTCATAAACACAAAATACTAGGGAAAAAATACAGCTAGATTAAGGGTTTTAAGTAATACTATGGAAAAATAGAAGTATGCTTATTCCCAGCTCTCTGAAATAGAAAATAGTTGCCAATTAGATGGTCAGAGCAAGCTCAAAAATTTGCACTTCACATTCTTCACACCTCAGTTTATTGATCCACCAAACTCAAACTCAAGCCTGTTCTAAAGAAATGCTAGAGGAATTTGCGTGTGCCAAGCTTGCCAGAAGAAATGCTGAGTCCATGTCTGACCTTTGACTCTCACTCCCACACACTGCAATGCAGACAGCATCATTGTTCTGTTGCCATAACAAGCTAACTGGCTGGGAGGCTCCGGGCAATACAAAGAAATTTAAATACCTTTCCAACTAAAGCTATGGAAAAGGTATTTTTGAAATAAATTTATAATACATATAACAATGCTTCAAGTCACTTCATTTTCTACTATACAAGTCTCCCCAGGAATTATGGAAAATGAATGATATGAGTCACTTTTGCATGTTATCTGCACATTAATAACTTTGTTTCAAGTTTGGTGGCTTTTTAAATTTTATGTATCAATTATTTTCAATGGCAGGATTCAGTGCTGTTGAAAGAAATGCACTGGTTTGTTAAGCAGGAATTTTTAACTGTATTTGTGACAGGATGTCAGCTTCTTGGACTCAGCAAAGTGAAATTAGAATCTCCTAAAGGCTCATCCTGACAGTCAGACCAGATGGACCACACTAGCTCCAACAAAGAGTACAAAAGAATCTGAAATTCTTAGTAAAAGAGAAAAAAAAGTACTGACAGACAGAACAGCTCTAGAGAAAGGAGGAAAAATGAGAGATATACTACATATGAAAGTATGAAATCCAGAAGAAAAGCTTAAGATAACAGTTTCCATTTGTTGCTCATTATAGAGCCAGTAATATATCCGGACAAGGTATGAACAGCTATTACCTGATATGCAAGCAACTGTTAAGAAAAAGGCAAGAATATCACTTTCCTGATGAGCAATCAGTTACAAAACACAATGGTGGATTCCACTGTGAAAAACAATACACTGAGAAAAAAGATATTGGACAAACCCACCACTGATGACAATAATATAATTTCAATGAGGAATGAAAAAATAATTAGTCAACACACAGCTCAATTCATATCTGCTGACAATCTTAGCCTCAATATATATAAATATTACACTATTTCTGTTCACAGCTGTAGCTAACAAAATACAAACAAAAAAAGAGATATTGTCTTACACATAAAAAATATGACAAATCCAGTGAGTTAGCACTCCTTTTGTAGCATGTAGCTCTGACCTTAGGGAATTTTTATTCTGCACAGAATTCCGGCATTTTCACTCCAAGGAGTATAATAAGTACTTTAATCATTTTACTACAGTATAACTTTCAAGTCATTCCACGCAACTCTGTAACAAAGAAGCAAAAAAGGAGTTGTGAATCTTTCGTCAGATACACACATTTATATATTTTTCAAAATCTTTTTACCTTGTCTGTATTATTAAATATAAATATAACTAGAGCAAACACATACAACATTAAAATTACTTTCTTGGTACTTCAATGTAACAGAAATAATAATTCAGCTGCTAAAATTAATTCACAATACCAACATCTCAAACAGAAGGATGAGAAACCAAAAATTTTATTAAAAGCAAAATCTGTGATAAAAATTTTTCCAGTGAAAGAGAACAGCATCCAGATATTATCCACTTAACAAAGCTAGTACTACTATTCTTCAATCATAAATGACATTCCCAAAGCAGAGACTTGGGATATTCATAAGCATGCTTAATAAAAAGGTTATTCTATAAGAATCTTTATCCCATCAATTCCCATACCCCTTCACCAGAAGCCTAGTTCACCATAAAGTAAACTAAGTGAAGATTGAGATAGTCTGCCTCATAAGAACAATTAGTATGGCTTAATATTTGTTGAAAATGTTTTCATTGGTTCCTCTTTCACCGTGACTATGCCATTGTGTTCAAATTTTTTGTCCTTCCACAAAATTCAGTCTGCCTAAATAGAAGTGATAAACTAATCATAGTTAAAAGTAGTTAACATTCCATGAATAATCCCTACTTTATTATTTCCTGACCTCCAAATGTTCACTTTCTGAAAATGAACATATTTTACCTTTTGATTTTAGGTTCCTAGAATTTATTGCACAATTTTGCCTGTCCTAAAGTGATTCAGTGAATCCTTTTAAACACTGAAATGCAGGCCAAGTTTACTCCAGAATACACAGAAGAGGGTTAATCTACCTGAAATTCATGCCTCAAACTACATTTGGTGCAGATATTCTAAAACAGTAATTTGCGTTTTTTAAGTAGCAATTAAGCAATTAAGTAGCAATTTTAAGCATTAAAATCTGTTATGGTGATAGTCTGGTCTCCCACTTGAAAACAAGCCTCCATGTAGAATTTTGTAGAGGTTAAGATAAGCCATCAAATGTAAGAAAACTATTAGAATTAGTATGAAAATCAACAAAGGACTAGGCAAAATTGTGCTTTCTTCCTCTTGCAGGAACAAGATCCCAAGAATTAGTCCCTTACTAGCTACTCTAAGCTTTAAGCAAGGAATTAAGATTAAATAATGTACTCTCACGAACATCTAATGATGTACAAAACTAAAAATATTACAGCTGACATCTCACTGCTATCATGCAAATACCTGAAAGAGTTCTGCATCAAAATAAATTTGATTTTTTTCTCAGTATTCCACTAGTATTGTGGCTCTTTCCAGCTAGACAACCTGCACTTCAAATAAACTTAATACTTATTCTTCTTCCACCCACCTTAGTGCAACTGTCAATTCTAAAAAAAAAACAACCTGCAGACAATGACATAGGCTGAAAATCAAGTACAGAGGAAATTTATAATATATAAGGGTACTAAATCCAGGTATTCTGTGCCATAGTCACAAATGTCCCACTTTTCTTTCTCTATATATTCTTGAGTTCCACTATTATGTCTTAAATTGGAAAAGAGGAATTATACTTCTACCAAGTTGTACTGAGAAAATAAATACCTTAAGACTGAGAGCACATTCTGTGCCTTTGGTTCACCTAAAACATAACTATCTCTGACTAAAGATGCTACCTAATCTTCTGCTTCAGTGTCCCTCCTCATACACTTCAAGACCAGAAACCAAACTCTTCCTTATTCTTGTGAGATCAAAGATACCTGATAGTAGCAAGAGCAAACTACATGCTCAAGCAAAAACAAGTGATGCAATTGTTAAAAACGAATATCCAAGCTGCTATTACCAGAAGAATCACCCAAGTATGTTTTAAATATGCTTAGTACCAATGTTCATTCTACTAAGCATGTAATAGTTATTTGATCTATCCCTTTACACATAAATAAAATTTCACGTAGTGTCCCACAATATTTTAAAAAATATTATTAAATCTTAAATCTGCCATCTTCTATTCTATTGTATATGTCTAAATGAAATACAGTGAATTTTTGTTACCATAGTAACCACAGAACTGAAGAAATTTAGTTTTGGCATAATTGCTGCATATGTTCATACAAATCACATCTCTTATTCTGAGCATTAGAAATGAAGACACTTCTTAACTCAATTTTTTAAAAATAGAGTAATGAAGAAACAAAAAATGAGATCAAGTATTAATAGACATAACACAACATATTCTTGTTTAATTCACTCATTTGCTTTTTTTTTATAATTAGAGTATATTTTCTTGCATTCTATTAAACCATTAGCTAAGTACTGTTTAAGTTATCTTTTTATGTTGATAATTAAGCCAGTTCTGTTGTAGTCATTAAATTCAAATTATTATTTTAGAATAACAAATATGTTATTAGCCAAACATCCAGGAAGAGCTATAGAAACTTTATCAAAAATAAACACACCCAACAGTCTGGGATGCACTTATTCTGTTTTTATCATTTGCAATGAGGTTCACATTGAATAAGGATAAATTTATGTGTGTCTTTAGTTTCAAGAAATAGTAGAAAAGGAAAAAGCACTCTAGGCATGCTGACACTGACTTACAATAGCATAATTTTCTCAGCAGCATTAAAAAACATGCATTCAGCAGGAACAAATTAAGTCAATTCAGCCAGCCTATGAGTTATCTACAAATTCCTTTCCACTTCCTTATCAGCTCCCAGAATGAATCTTAAATGTCTCATAAAATCCCCAACCCTAAACAATTCCATAACTCCATGGGACAAATGAACGGTAGGACAGGGGAATTTCCATGTTTTCACTTCAGAACTAGAATTCTTTCATCCTTTTCCTTCTCTAGCTTTGTTTGCTCAATAACTTAGTACTGATTTTGTTGTTCCACAGCTACTTTATGCTTATCAAGTTTATTATCATCAGTACCTTTCAGTTTAATTTTCAGAAATACAAACAAGCCTAATTTCAGAAGAAGTTTGGTAATACAGAACAGAGACAAATAAATCATAATTAGCCTCAGCACAGATCATCTCTGTTTGAAAACTTTAAGTCTTGTAAGCTCAGAAGTTTTTTTTATTAAGCCATCTCATACATTGAATGAAATCCTGTGATCATATAAAGCATTGCCACAAAGAAATGCAAAGTAGAAGTCCAAGAATTTGTTTAGCACACAGTGTAATTCTTCTAATTTGAAGTACCAACAATATAATTTTCAGTTTACCTTTTCTCCTCAGACTCTTCCTGGCATGGATTGGCCAAGGTTTTCAAGAAATTGTGGAATTGATCCTCACGAATTTTGAAGGATACAACAGTTTGTCAAAAAAAAAAAAAAAAAAAAAAAAAATCAACAATAATGGACAGATGAATGAAAGTTCATATTATTTGAAATAATCACTGCTTTTAATGAGATATCTCACAGCTGCTGCAAATAACAGAGAAATAATGCTAAAAAGATTTTCTAACATCCCAATGACCATTAGAATCAGTGAAGCCTGGTTTTCCAGAGATGCACATGCAATATTTCCTCACAGAAGCCCAGTGTCACTGAGCCTAGTGTCACTGAGTCTGACCAACCTAGCTTCCCCTGGTACTCCCTTCTGGGCATGTGCATGGGTCTGTTTTGGCTGGCTACTCAAGACAATCAATCAGTCAGTCAGCTGACTGCTGCCCTACAGAATATGTACAGGGCTAATTTAGAACTTCTTCCTTTCAGATAAGGAAATCATTTGGGCCTGCCAATTTTCACGCAACTTGGAAGAATTTAACATGTTGGAGATTCCTAGCCATCTGTCAAATCAGGGTGGAAGAGACAAAAGCTACCAGAGAACAGGCGCTGGCAGACCGTATAGTGACAGCATACACTTTGTTTTCTTAGATATACAAAAAAACCCACGCCCTCTTTACTTGGTGGGTCCCTACAGTGACTGCTGCCATTTGTTTCATTACCTTTCCATCAAACTGTATTTTGTTAGGATCTTAAACTTTACTATTTCATCAGTAGAATATATACAGGTAAAAGAGAAAAAGATCAGATCTCGTACATACTAAAAACAAAAGAAAAATTTAGAAAAAAAAGACAAAAACAAGTGAGAGAACAAAGCATGGGGTGCTGGCAATAGTAAAGAAAATTAGGTGGGATAGTGCATTCAAGGAATGAAAGGTGCTTGCAAGCAAAGCTAGAAAACAAATTACACAGAGTAAATACAAAGATACAAGGGTGACAAAGTAAACGAGAGATAAAGGGAAAATGAAGAAGACTGACAAAGCCTACATGCCAAAACTGGAATGGGACAATACAAGTAAAAGTGTCAGAGCATCTGTAAGAGTAAAAAATAAATGAATTACTCAACTAAATATTTACAGAATTCTATGACAGCAGAAGGGGTCAAACTAGGTTAAAAAATTATTTTCCCTTTAGTGATAACAGAAGTGTAGAAGAATGTTAAAATAGACAATATTTCCAAAATTATGCTTCAGTGGATTGAAAGATCTAATATAATTTCAACTAAATCTTAACCATTTCTGACAGATGCATATCAAATCTGTTCTAATATATTTTACTGACAGTTTCTACCAGTTGTCCAGGCAAACTTAAACCAAGGTTTTTAACCACCTTTGTCATCAGTTAGCCACCATAATCTATAACATACTCTCCTTGTCACATCCGTATGGACACAGAAAATAACAGATTGCATTCATTGTGTAAAAACTTCCTAAGGATTTGAGAACTGCTGTTGCTTTCCTTCTCTACACAAAATAGATCAAATTCTTCTAAGTTTTTGCACACACACCCTCCTACCCCAGAGATTATGCTTTCCAACTTTTTTCCTGGTCTCCTTCTCCAAGTTCTCCCCAGCTGGCCCAGATCCAGACATAAACCCTAAGGAGTCCACAGCCTTCCAGCTGATACCTCACCTAAGAAGAGTGGGTAATGCTTTTGGTTTCATATCCTGATAAAGCTCTTGTTTCTACCCCAACACCATGACATGGTTAGCTTGTCAACTTACAGACATTTTCATACTTTATCTAGCATTTTCCTGTCACCTGTACATTATTACTGCTTACAGATAACACTTAGTGCTTCTTCTTCCTGATTTATACCCTATTCTCTGACTTCTGTAGATCATTTCACATTCAAAATGATCCTGTCCTTCAGAATGCTTGCAGCTCCCCTCCACCAAGACTTTGTGTCCAAACTGGGAAAGAATCATGCAGTAAGTGCTTGCAGTCAGCATTATTTCATTGTTCTTCAGTGACATGCATAAGATATTGCTTTGCTGGTTCTGTGTTCTTTCAAAGAAAAAAAAAAGAAAAAAAGAAGAAAGGAACATTTTAAAATGCTGATCCATCCCTATTTGATTTCTCATTTTAAGCTGTATGTATTATTTTATTACTTTATGTTTCAGAGGGGCTTGAAGTTAAATAGTAATTTTAGCCATTATGAATATTATATAAATAGTTCACTTGCAAAGATTAGAGAAACAAAATTAGTTGAAAATTTCGCAGGGTAATGCAATCTATTTAAAATAAGAAAAGGGAACACAACACACCACTAAATAATGTGAAATTACATCTGTGTGTTCTCTAACTTGAGGAGATCTTGCCAAAATCCAAATCGGGTGCTGAGTAACTATAAGCATATTCTTGTTCAGTTGGAGTAAGATGTACTTTGTGGCACTGCCCACATCTTAGCAGCTAGTTAAGTCTTGATGTTATAAAGAAGACTTGTTTAAAAAGAAAAGACTTGTTTAAAATGAAAAATAATAGAAAAATATTTTTAAATTATGTAGTCTCGGATGCCATTTTTATAAGGATTCAGTATTAAAGGAAAGACTAACTTACATAACTGAATATAGCTACATTGAGAGTACCTTCTAATACTTCCCATGCTCACAACCATAAAAATTGCTGCTATGAGACAAAGCTGTCCATGACAGGAAAATTAAAAAAGAAAAAAAAAAAAAAAAAAAAAAAAAAAAGAAGAAGAAAAAAAGAGTAGAGAAGAAATGTTAGATAAAAAGCCAGTAATATTCCCAAGCTAACTGCAGCTGCTGCTCACTGCTCACTCAAGCAAGTTCTTTCTCACCATTGTCCAAAGTGAGACATCCTAAATCATAAAAAATGTTCTATAGGAAGTGTGCTCATTACCTTTACTGGAAGTTTGTGCCCCACAACTTGGCAATTTAACTTGAATTTTCAAACAAAGCTAGAAAAAAAACCCCACACAGTAAAATTAACCTAGAAATAAATTTTTGAAACTTTATACAAAATTTTGCTACATATTTGAGCAAAAATAATACGAGAGACTTTTTGCTAGATTCATTCTCTCTATAAATTTCTTTTTTATCCCAGATTTGTTCTCAAATACATAGTAGTTCACTATGTACACAATTAAAAGTTCATATAAACATCCATTTTTTGCTAGAGAAAGTTTTAATTTCTTATCCATAGGAACAGACTGGCATAATCCTTAGGGTCTTTACTTTTCTTGATGGGAGTTAAACCAGTACAAAGCCCTTTTAGAGGTATACAGATAGCCTAAAATCTAACATCACCCTTCACAAGGCTTTCCCTTTGTCTTCACATCAGTAGTTTCAGACCTACCTGTCCTATTATGCAAAATATCAAACCTGAGACAGTCACCTAGAGTGCAGTTACTGCTACCATGTCCTCATTTCATTAAGCTCCATCTGAAAGTTCTTTACAAAAAGGCATATATATATGAGATATATATAGATATATATAAATATATACACGATGCTGACTATCATATCTATATCTTAATACTACACCTTAAAGTCAGGCAAACTCTAATCACACAGAGGCTGTATAATCTGAAAAGATGATGGTATTTACAAAAGTTGAGAGTCCCTCAGTAAGGAAGCAGGCTGAGGAGACACAGGTATCAATTTTGTACATGACAGTGGCAGAGTCACTAGAGGCAGTCACGCTGCAACTGCAGGAATATTGCTACAGAGGTCTACAAATCAAATACCTTTAAAACCTTAGCCAATCTCCCAACTGCCATAAGCATACTCAAATTAAAGGCTCTCATTCAGCAAAAAAACACTCAGTTTTCTAATCAGGGCAGTTTGAAAGCACATGACCAAGTCCAAAAACAATCACATTTCTTTTGAGATCATAATCAGCCCCTCAACTTTCAATGTACGTCTCAATACGATCAATACAGAAACACAAGAAGGAATTTCTGCTCAGGCTATGTTCTGATGAGGCACTCAGACAAGCCTACAGGCACTGCACCCAGGAGCCCATCCCTGGCAGTGTTCAAGTCTGGGTTGGACAGGGCTCTGAGAAAACTGGTCTCGTGGAAGGTATCCCTGGCCATGGAAAGGGGGTTGGAATGGAATGATTTTTAATGAAAGTTAATATTATTTGAAATAATCACTGTTTTTAATGAGATATCTCACAGCTGCTGCAAATAACAGAGAAACAACCAACCCAATCAAACCATCCTCAGATCTGAGGAAATTCTCAATCAGCTCCATGCCCCACTTCTGCCTGATCAATGCTTTCCAATTTCCAGTGCTTGCAAGGCTAATGCCCTGAAATCACCTTGATTTTTAATGTTTCCAGTTAGAACTTTGCTGCTAAAATTGATTGTGCAATGAAAATTTATAATGGCAAACAGTACTGCATCATCCAGTTTGGGATGGTGCAGTTATTCTCTTTATTCTAGAGAATAAAGCCAATCTTTGCCTCTTTAATTCTTCATATATACATTATTAGTTACTAATAAACCTGCTCCAAAAGAGTTCTCATGGTTGCTGCCAGTTCTGATTATTAAAAAGCAGTCCTGGAAATTATTGCATTATGTAAAAAGCTTTCTCACACAAGTTTAAGAAGAGACTAGGACTCACTGAAGGCTTAAATGACACTCAATTAAATCTGGTTCCCTCATGTGAAGTTATATGCTCAGCCTTCCAGACTTGTCCTTTACTTTAAAGATAGGTTAAAATTAAGAGATAGGCAAAAGGTGCCTCACTTGTATTTACTCCTAGATTGCCCTTTGCTTCCACTTTCAACACCTTGTACCATACCAGAAAACAAAAGACATTGAGGGGACAGTCCAAAAATTCAAAGATCACTTTCTCATATATTCTGTGTTCTTCTCATCACTTCTTTGTGTAGACCATATGTGAATTCTAGTATATTTGACTTCGGCCTGTATGTACTGAATGAGAAAAAAGAAAGAGGGGTGATGAAGTCTTTAATTTCCTTTTATTTCCTGAGTATCATCTTGGTGAAGACAAGATGTGGTACTTATAAAGTAATCACACAAAAGCAGTGAGTTTTAAAGTCTCCAGTTTATTAAATCTCTCTCTCTCTCTCT